AGAGAGAGAGAGAGAGAGAGAGAGAGAGAGAGAGAGAGAGAGAGAGAGAGAGAGGGAGGACGGGCATAGCTGTGTAATAGAACTACTAGGCAATATCGAGGCTGACCACAGTTTGAAATGATGGGGTAGCCTGTTTGAAACAGACGTGGTTTTCAGCCATCACATAAAGAAGGGATCTGTGTATCACAGGGCTTTCCCAGGAGAGAAAATTGATTTGTAGCCTCAGGAGAAAGAGCCCACAGGTTTTATTTAAACAAAAACAAGATTCCATTCCTCCAGATGGCTTTTTTTTTCATTTCCCTCCCCTGATGTTGCCTTAAAGCCACAGTAAACAAAGTTGAATGTAAATGGGTTCCGACATTCTCCTTTGCATATGCTCTGAGCTAGAAGAGATCAGAAGAGGGTTTTTGACATATGGTGTTTGAAAGTGTCCAGAACTGCTTCATTGACACCAAAGCCAGCATATTCCTTGAGTCTAGCGGCAGGCAACAGACCAGAGGTAAAATGCTTTTTCTCAAAAGCTGATTGATTGTCCAGTGCTAACTTTTAAGCTTTCCCCAGGGTAAAGAGGGCAACCCAGAGTACTAGAGACTTTGGACCCCTAGTCCTCCGGCTTTTTACATCTTCTGAGTTTCACGAATTGGTGTCCTCTCTTTACTTTTTCTTCTTGGCATTGTTTTCTCACCATTGGCACCTTCATTTCAGTCGGTTGAGTCTGGGTTTGGTGGCAATTGTGTATTGTCAGCATCTTGAATCGGATCAGGAATCGATTTTCTTTTCTCTGGTCTTTTCTGGGTGCAGGGTGATGGTTGCCCCTTGCATGCCATTTGGATGCAACCACTTCAGATTTCCTTTCTTTTTGCCCCAAGAGATCCCAAGTGAGATCCCAAGTAGCGTGCCAGTAGCAATCGATCCCCAGCAGGAGTCTGCAGTGAAATAGCTTTTATCTGTTATAAATTGAAGAGCCTGGGATAGATCTTGAAAGGGCACTGGCATCTTTGACTTGGTTCACCAGAGACCATTTTCTTGACATTGGGATTATGGAGAAAGAAATAGGAACATTCTTAGGACTACAGTGAGACAAGGGAGAACTGAAATTACAGTTCAGCTCCCCTCTGTTCGATAGGATGTTTCCAATTAGACACTTTGGTACATTCCTTTGAAACCATGAAACCCGTTTAAAGGTAACTCCCTCCCACACCCCGCCCCCCCCCCACCTTGCACTATGTCTCAAAGTGTAAACTTTATTTTAGCTCCCTTCATTTCTCCCCTTAGGAATATGGTATCTCACCAAAAGTATTCCCAGGAACACAGCAGGAAGGAAGGCAGAGGGGAAGGAGACATGAGGGAGGAGGGAAAGGAATAAAATACACAAAACCCAGAATTCTCTCCCTGAAAAATATCCCTGTTCCAACAAAGGATGGCATTTCTGAATTAAAGTGCCTGAAAAAGGTGCAAATATGTGTGAAAGTGGCTCCTGTGGATGGGCCAGTTGCTGGACTGAAGAGAGAGGAAAAATAAGGAATATAGATATTCACACATACATACATACACACACAGCATCCTTCCTGGTTCTTGAGCTCAGCCCAAACCACAGAAGTTGCTCTCATTTTTTTTCACTTACAAATCCATTTCCACTCTCCCCATCCCGCCGCATATACAAAACCCCCCTCCCCGACAAAAAAACCCCAAACCCAACCCACCCCATCTCAGAGTCTAAGTCCCCAATAAATAATGGAATTGTGGAGGTTATTTCTTTCATCATTGATCAAAAAGAATAAAACAAGTAGGGAAAACATCCATCCCCATCTCTAGCATTGTCTCATTCACTTTTTCTTTAATAAGCTAGACCTCATGGTCTGGATGAACAAATGTCTGTCATGGCAAATCCTTATTTGTCTAATTTGTTCCACTGCACATAATATGCAAGAAACGTTTTAGGAGAGCCTTGTCCTTTCCCTGTCTTGTTAGGTGGGCATATTTGAGTGTGTGTGTGTGTGTGTGTGTGTGTGTGTGTGTGTGTGTGAAAAGAGAGAAGTTCTGATTAGAGTGAGGTTTCCACACTGTTGAGTGGGCTTCCAGGACTAGAAGAGGTAGCTGGCTTGCTGACGTCTGTGGTCAAATAGATACCATTGTCTATGGCGTTGTTGTTCTGATTGGAGGGGGGCTGGGGACTGGCTCGGAGGCGCTCCTCCAGCTCTTCCATGTCAGTGTCATCAATGAGAGGGATGTTGTGGATGTAGTCATTGATCAGAAACTCAGGCGTCGTTGTGAAGTTATGGATGGAGGTCTTAGATGCAGGTTTCTCCAGGCCTTCGTAGAGGGAGCTACGGAATGCTTTCACCACCCGGATCTAAAATGGGAATTGATGGGGTAGGAGGGCAAGAGTTGGGAATGGGAGAAGAAGGGAGGAAATAAGGAGGAGACCATAAATTGTTCACTAATTGCTACCCACTGGGTCTGTCCACCTCAATGACTTGTTGGAGTTGTTTCATTATAACTGTTCATTCATTGGGGGCTGGAATAATGGGCAGAGAAGGCTTGGAATATTGCATGTGAATATTAAAGGACCTTTAGGGCAATCTGAGAAACTACAGCCTCATGGAGGGAAAATGGTAGATTTGAGTATCCTGACCTTATGCTAATTTGGACCGCTCTGAGATCGATCTAGTGGCAACCCTTTGGATTCCTGGATTTGGGATCTGAGGTTCCAAGTTAAGGCACCTCCCTGGGAGGTTACCCTCAAACAATGTCATTTTGCAATCAAACCATGTTTTGAACACACCCCACGGTAAAACTCATGACTTTGTTCAACCAATTACCTATTTATAATATTGGTCCTGTGGTGTTAAATGCTCCCTGTGACACCATGATTTTTTTTTTCTTTCCCCTCATGTAACCAGTCATGTGACATCAGCGAGGTCTACTCAGTTTGGATACCTGCTGCCCTCCCTGGCACTGCCACCAGCCTGATCACTGAAGAGTTGGGTCAAAGCCTGAGAAGTTGTTGTAATCACAACCCAAAGAGTGTGAAAGCCCTTTAAGAGAAGGCTCTGCTCTCAAGGTTTAAAGTAAAGAAGGGCCTGGGTAATCTACACCGTCCTCTTTGGGAATCCATTGAGCTAAGAGTTTGACAGAACTCGAAATCCAGAGTAGACACAACCGAGGCTGATGTGTCCCCCTCCCTCCTTCTCCTTCTCCCTTCCCCCACCCCTACCCATCCGAATCTCCGATCCCACCTGTGCATGGTGACATTTCGTGTACGGTCCCTTATAAATGTGCATGAACAGTTATAAGTTGGAGAATGCATTACCGTGGACTGATCCAGACTGTGGCACACATAGGAGACAAAACATTATAAGAACAGGGAAGGTCAAGTGGCTGGTCAGCAAGAACACCCCCAAACCAAACCAAACGAAACCAAAGGAACGGAAGTGGAGGGGATGCTGGTGTTAGACTCTGCAATGGAAATAGGCGCCTGATGGATGAGTTTAGTGAGCTCAAGCAACCATAGGGTAGGTCCCAGTAGGAGGAGATGGGCTTTTGTTTTGGGAGAAGCATTTCGCTTCCTGAGCATACATTCACTGGAGGCAGGACAGATGGCAGTGGAGACAGGATGAGGAAGCGGGGGGACACGAGCAAAGAATGGGGAGGAAAACCTCCTTTCGCTTTTACTGTAAGAAGCCAAGTAAAATTAAAGGACAAAAACAAGAAATGTGAAGGCCACATTCTCATTTTGTTCTGCCTTGGGAGCCGAGATCAAACCCAGGTGCCCGCCTCACTGTCTCCTTTTTAGGGTGTCCCCGGCCTCTGCCACTGCTTACCATCTCACTGTATTTAGTAACCTTGTTAGAAACCTCTCTCTCTTCAATATGCAATATTTCTGCCTCCCTCCTGTCCTCACCACCTTTTATGTTTTTCCTGAGAGTTCCCTCCACTCATGGTTTACACAAACCACTTGGGTTCAGACCCTTTCCAGGATGCCCATTCATGTGCCAGGAGTAACTCGGAGTTACCATTATGAGTGGTATTTCATATGGAATGGCCAGGAAGATCCATTGTAACAGCTTAAGGAGATCTCAGAATTCTCAGGCATGACCCCATTTGGGGAGCAGATTTGAATGTTCCTCACTTTCGATCTTTACTGGGCTACACTGCTGACTTAACCCTGAGGCTTCAAGCTTAGAGCGTCTGTGTGGCCACAGGCATCAGAAATGGAAGGAATGTGATAGACAAGACCTTGTTTCTTAACCACTGTCCGAATGGGCCAGGTGCTGGAAGCTGAGAAGTTAATCAGTGAAATCTAGAGGTGGTCCTTGAACTGCAAAGAAAGCCCTCCAAATATACAATGAAGACGTGGCCTTGGAAAACCAGATGTGTTTCCATGAGCCTGTGCAGAGGGGAGTTAATTGGCATAGAAATACCCCGATGCAACTGATGGCACTTCCTTTTACAAATTTTCTCAAGGGTTACCAGAATGTGTGTTCTTGAAGAAAGGAAACCCCAGGAAGCAGGCTCTGGGATGAGTCCATTGTGTTCCATTTACCCAGGGCCATATGATCCTGGAGGGTCTGAAAATGGGAAAAGGGGGGTAGTGTCCTGGCAAGAGCACTGGGCTGGGAGTCTGGATTCTCAGCTAAGCTTGGCCACTAACTTGGTGTGTGATCTGGGACATTCTGTCTCTGAGTCTCAGGTTCCTGATTAGAAGAAAATGTAGCAGTTGGATTGTATGGGCTCTAATCTGCTCCCTGATTCAGCACTTGGCAAAGCAGTAACTTCAAACTGAAGTCACTGACCCCTGAAATGCCTCTTCCCATATTGCTTTGGGATAGTAGGCTGTTAACTGGGTAGGGATTATTTGGGGCCCTGTACTTCATATGAGTAACCCAGGTGAGAGCTTTCTGATGAGGTTACTAAGCATGAAGAGATGGTTACTCTTTCATATCTTGGCTCTGCCGTTAACTTGCTGGGTGTTGACCTCACTGTGTCTTCCCTCATCTTTAAAATGGAGGAATGGAACTAGTTCATGAGTGGGTCTAAGGGAGCAGCTAGGTGGTGCAGTGGATAGAGCTCCGGCCTTGGAGTCAGGAGGAGCTGAGTTCAAATCTGGACTCAGACACTTGACACTTACTAGCTGTGTGACCCTGGGCAAGTCACTTAACCCTAAATGCCTCACCCTCCAAAAAAGCAAATGAGTGGGTCTAAGGTTTTTTTGTTTTTTTTTTTTGAGCTAGTGAGAAGCTCAGTAGCAGTGAGGGGAAGATACTGATGCTGTGAAACCCTAGCAAGAAAGGGGGAAAGCATCTAGCTTCTGGAATCTCTCTGGAGAGGCTGAACCTTCTTCTCCTATAATGTCCAGTATGGCAGCTGGATACACAGGAGACTCTGCCCTTGTAAAAACTTTCTTTGGAGACACTTTCCAGGGATGCCAATAAAGGCATTGAGACAGTAGGGTGTTTCAGCCCCTCCGCCATGAAGCAGCTCTCCCCAAGGTAGGTTTACTAGAGTAAATAAAGGTAGCTAGCTTATGTAGATCAAGTGTTGGGCTTGGAGGTAAGAAGACCCGAGTTCAGATCCTGCCTGTGTGTCACTGGGAAAGTCACTTAACCTCTCTAAGCCTCAGTCCCCTAATCTGTAAAATGGGGATAATAATAGCAGTTACCTCACAAGGTTATTGTGAGGACCAAATGAGATATTTGTAAAAGCGCTTAGCACAGTGCCTGGCATGTAGTAGGTGCTTAAGAAATGCTAGTTGTCATCATCATCATCATCATCATCACCATCATCATCATCATCATCACTAATTGTTCAGGTGCCCCAGGAGGAAAGATCCCATCTTTCTTCAGGAGAGAGAAAACTCTAAGTCCTTCCAGCAATGCAAGGTGTAATGCCTCCTTAGTCTCCAAATCTCCCGGGAATTGGGTAAATTCTGGATATTTTAGGGCTATCTAGAGAGATCACATGGGGTCTCAGTGGAATCAGGAAGGCCTTGGTTCAAATCCCACCTTTGACACTAGTTATGCAATCACGGGCAAGTCATATCACTTAATTTCTCAGAGTGTCAATTTCCCTGAATGTAAAATTGGAAAACTCTTTGCTCCAAGCACTTTTAATAGTTGCCTCACAAGGTGGTTGTGAGGTTCAAACAAAGCAGTGGTGTGTAATGGACTGTGCTGGATTTGGAGTCAGAGGACCTGAGCCCAAATCCTTCTACACCTTTGTGACCTTGGGCAAATCACTTGACCTCTCTGGGCCTCAGTTTCCACTGTGAAGTGAGGAGGGTGGACTAGCTGGCCTTGAAAATCCTTTCCAGCTTGAAATCTATGCTATGATGTGTGTAAAATGTTTTGCAAGCTTTAAAGTGCTGTGTGAAAGTTATTAGTATTATTATTTTACATTTTTGTTTCTTTGGAGAGACGAATTTGGAGACTTTTTTTTTTTGGACAAAAAAAGCTCCTTTCAACATGAGACTGGGCTCAATTTTCAAGGCATTGTATGTTACATGCGACTAAAAGGTTTTCTTGCACCACTGATTTAAAAAGTCTCCACATGCTCATGGAGAGTGGTGTGAACGCAAAGCTGTGAGGCCTCCGACTGAGGCCCAGGTTCAGGCCTTGCAAAGCTGGATGGAAGGTTCACATGCTGCCAGGATCAAATGAAAAGGGAGGAAAAAAAAAAGGGAAAAAACCCACCCAATCCCCAAACCGCCTGTGACTCTGTTTCCGGCATGATACAGAGAAACAAGACACCATAGAGAAGGCCTCTGTCCATGGCCGACCGACACAGTCTGCAACCCCCTCAGAGGAAGCATTGGGTACAAAACTCATGCATTATTGCCACAGTAAACATTCGAGTATAAAGGCCCATTATTGCGGGAAGAAGGGCTGGGGACAGGCCTCCAGTGGCCCCTTGTTTCAACAGGGAGAATTGCATGCCAAGTCATTGGTGCGTCCATCCATGCCTGGGCCCTGAGGGAAGCTAATGAGGCACGTGGGGGACATGGACATACACACACACACATACACACACACACACACACACACACACGAGTGCGCACACACATACACACGCATAAAATAAAATAAACAAACAAGGAAAGCAGAGTCTGTGAATGTATGTCTTTGAATTAAAGTAGGCACTATGAAAGGAACCTCAGGCTTACCACTGGGATAGACAGGCCTCATTCATTCTGTGCTAGTTTGTTTTTATGGTCTATGAGCTTTCACCAGAGAGTGGGTCAAAGGAGGAGGAGGAAGAGGAGAAGGGGGGAGTGGGGAAGAGGAGGAGGAGAGGGAGGGGGAGGAGGAGGTGGCAACCTCCAGAGCTACCTTCTTAGTTTTTCTCTCTGGAGGCTCCTTCCCAGTGAGTCTAAACTATATGGAATAGTTTGCAAATATTCCATCAAGTCCCCACTTTTCTAGGGTCAGGGGTGGGGCAGAGAGGGAAGGGGTTGGGGTTCTGGATGGATGGAGCATTGGTGAGCAGTTGGAGTTCATGGACAGTCTACAAGGTCTGAAAGTCTACCAGGATTGTTTCCCAGTGCATTGGACAAATTTCTGTTGAATGAGTTGGCTTTACTGGAGTAAGGATGGAAATATTTATCCTACTAGGAAAAAAATCCCAAGTCCCATTCTTGGGTTTTTCATACTCTTTTTAACTGGGAAAATATAGACCCTTATGAAGCAGTAGCAACAACTGCTTATCGGAGAAGGGGCTAGACTTCACCATTTTTATTCTAAAATCATTCAAAGAAAAATGAATTGGAACAGAAGGGTTTTCTTTGGCCATAGTCTCATGCTGCCAGTGTTGCGCCTAACAAATGATGAGGTGCCCAATGAGCAACACAGCAGTGAGCAGCAAACAATATTCAAATGCTAATGACGGCAAATGATAATCAAACTAAAAGGGAAACCAGCAGGGGGAAAATCCAGGAAGATCCAATTCCAAAGAGAAGGCAGTCGAGTTCATCCATTGCCCTTCTTGAGGTCCAACTAGAAGAAATGGGTTGGGGAGGGGGTGAAATTGAATTTGGAGATGAAAGGCATGGGGTGGTCCCAGGTCACTGTTTCGGTCAAGAATTCATTTCAGGCTCAGTCTGACCAAAAAGCATTCTTGATGTAGAGGAATGGTGTATGGGGCTGGGATGTGTTTATATCCTTGGTATGCTTAAGAGTATGGGAGAGGGATGTCTTGAGTGTTAGAACTCTGGCTCTCTAAGCAGCACTTTGCCAACGGTCTTCACATCCCTTCTGCTGTGCTCCCACCCCACCCCCCAAACCATCCTCACGACTTCTCTTTTCTTGGGCCCCAAAGCACTACTAGGATTGTCTGGGCGGTAGCCCTGTGGACAGCTTGGGACTATCAGAAAATGTCATCCTATTTTTCAATCATTTCAACCCTCAGCTGAAGCACTTCAGGTCCCAGTTACTCATCCACGTTGGGATTGACCAGATCATTAGAACAGATTTTGATACTCTAATGTTTTAACATGTAAATGAGTGAGCTGTGTTGTTGATTTCAGGAGAGAAGCCCCATTCAGGGGAGGGGCACCTGTTTCTGTTTTAATATCTGCTCCTTGGATGCCTCCTCAAATTTAAGAAGATAATGCTGGGCATGCTGCCTGATCCATTTTCTTGGCTGGGTCACATACCCTTCCAAAACACAACAAAGGTGTTCTCCAGTTCCCTGTATGCCTCTGGGGTATGACTGTGAAGGAATAAGACTGATTTTCCTGTGTGGCTTGGGGAACTAGTCTCATTATATGCTAGTCACCTCTAACATGGCTGATGCGGGCCTTGGCCCCCCAGCAGGACAACGGTCACGTAGGAGAGTCAGTGCTGTTCTGCTCATTGGACTCATCCCAAACAGATGATCTTTTCCAGAAAGTACAACCCAATCATAAAAGAGACAAACTGATCTCAGGCACCAGAATTCCTTGTTCCTACTTCCTTTTTTCCTCTCAACTCCAACTCTTGGAGAGGAATGCAGGTGTGACCCAAAGGGGACGGAGAACCCTCCTCTTCCCCTACCCTGCAAAGTGAGTGAGAAGCAGCTAACCTTTCACCCAGCTGATGTTTGGTGAATTCTTCACCTAAACTGTTCAGGTAACAGCGGGAACTATTCTTCCGCTGTACTTACCACCTGCCGGCTCCTGGGAGGCACCCAGGAGCAGAAAGGAAGGAGAGAATGGCTGGTGGGCACATTGCAGGGAAAGAGAAGGTGCCAGGAACACAAAGGATGCCCAGGGACAGGCAGGAGAACAAGCAGGAATCTGGGAGCCAAGAGGCAT